CCGGCCCTGCTGCGGTGCCGGGCCACGGTTCCCTCGTCCCATCCCGCCGGGCAGGACGCCTCGCACGGGGCTGGCCGCCTTCCCTGGCTGTCACAAAGGCGAAGCGTGCGCCTTCCTCTGTGCTACCGGCACAGCCTGGTCTGGTTTGGAGAGGGGCTGCCCCCCGCCAGCACTGGCGAAGCTGTGTCACCCACTGGCATCTCATTCAGTTTGCTGCTCGGCTGGACTACAGACAGAGACATGCGAGCTACCTTTGCTGTTAATCATCTCCAGCCTGGCAAGAAGTGGGAACAGCAGCCTTTGCACTTGTGGAGAGCTCTGCACTCCTCAAGGTGTAAGTATTCCCCAGACTTCATGCGTGAGGGAGTGCCCTGAGAAGTAGTACCAAACTCAGCTGAAGCTGGTGAACCTTCGTTGCTGACTCCAGACAGCAACATGTGTGCGCGTCATGTTCCTCTCCCCTAGTTCTGCTGCTATCCAGGCTTCACCCCGCTCTGCGCTGTCCTGAGTATCCCAGCTTGCCGTTATTCTGGCTAGCAGAGAAAGGATTGTATGTGATGGAGGATGGCTTGAGGCCTCCGAGATGTACAGCTGCTGAACGGTTGCATGTAGCTGCTGCCTGGGCCACATGGCATGCTTTCAGCAACGGGCTTGTCAGCGAGTCCACAGCAGCGGGAGGAAGCAAGCCCGTGCCACCTCACAGTGCCTGCACCAGTAATTGGTGGCACCAGCCTCATGGACCACCTGTGGACCCCGCTCTGCCCAGCCCCTCGCTGATGGAGCACAGGGGACTTGAGAAATTGTTGTCATCTCTCCTCTGCAAACCATACCTGGAGCCAAGCCTCTCTCCCCGGGTCCCCCAGAAGCAAAGTACGTACCTGGGGAGTCTTGGCTCTCTGGAAATTTCAGCATGCAGCTCAAAAGCAAGGCCAACTCACACAACAGTAGGTGCACCAAGGAGTTTTCTGCTTAACATGGCGTAAAACTTTTTGTTCTGTTTCTTTTAGTGTTTTTGTACTTGCAAATTTTAAAGGCTAGAAATCATAAGATATATGTTTACCTTGGATATCAGTGATTTCTTGACACCATATCACAGTGCAGGTTTTTCCTTTCCTTAAAGGAAGATCTCGGGGTTTGGTGGGCCTGTCCTTAGATACTGTAAAATCAGCAACGGTGTAGAATGTTGCAGTGTGAACACATTTATGATCACTAAAAGCAATAGCGGTTTCTAGCAAGAAATGATTGGCAGCTATTACATGTAGAGATCTGCTGGGACCACAGCAACAGTTCTGCCTTGGTGTTTATGCCGCACCCATGGCTAAAATGGACACCCGCTAGCTTCTTCCGTGCCACGATAAGCAGTCCTGCCGCGTCCTCGGGGCTGCTGCGATGTGATATGGTAGTACCCTGGAGTAAGCCTAGTGACTTTGTAAAGAACCAACTTCTGGCCAAGTAGAAAGTATTAAAGATTAATCTTGTTGCTTCATTATTTCAGTTAGAGAATTTAAAAATATTTTATTATTGCAGACTGCATATTTGTAAGCGTACATCTGGAATATGATCAGCTGACTCTTGTCTCGTTATTTGCTTACTGTGCTTTTTCTCTTAAATGTGTATGTACGGACTGAGATGGAAAATTCATTATTTTTGTTTTGTGACTTTTTTAGTAAATATATTCTAGATGTCATCTGGTAGTACCAAATTTTCTTCTACAACCCAAAAGAACTTTTAGCGCCGTAACTGTGAAGAATAATGTTCATGTCTTAAAGTAACTGAGGTCACCGCTGACAGCCTTCAGACTAATGCCGCACAGCAGCGTCTCCAGAGTCCTGCAGTAAACATTATGGAGTGCTTGGAGGCCCAGATGTGTGGGCCAGGTTTTAACAGCAGGGAGAGAATTTAATAGACTATAAGTAATTTCATGTCTGCCCTTCTGCCCTATTACCCATGCAGACAGGCTGAAGGAGGAAGGGTAATTTGTACTGGAGGAAAAATCAATATGCAGAGAGGGAAGATGTTAGGTTTTGTGTCAGAAAGGGGGTTCTTAATGAGTGTACTGTTTTCTTCTGCTTGGTTGATGAAAAAGTAGATCCTGTGATGGTTTATAACATGTCAGATTATGGTCTCAACTAAATTGATTTGGGGGAATAATATCTAAATAGAATTTCATTTGTGATTTAAATAATGGATTTATGTTGTGTCTTTTTTGGTAAGGAAAACAAAACTATTTCGAAACTTGTGAAAGCTGTTAAAATGCATCTGGTTGCAAACGAGGAGAATTTTAAAGATTTTTGTTTAACATGACTGAAGCTCAGTGGTCAAAACTCATGGGAATTGAGTGGAAGAGGGTTTTCTGTAGAAGGGCAGGACTGGAGCACACTGCCCAAAGAGATTGTGACATCTCCATTTTTTAAGGTTTTCATGACATGCTTGACCGAACAGCACCATGGCTGACCTGACTTTGTTGGGGCCAGGTCAGCTTCAAGTGGGACATTGGGCTGGAAAAGCTCCACAGATTCTAGCTAATCAGCATTACTATAATTTTCAGGTCCACAACCTTCCTTGGCCTATAGAGATATTAACACTGACTAACAAGCTCTGGGAAACATCATACGATGTGCTTCCAGCTGGTCTCCTGTCTAATTCTGTAATTTCTTGTAGTTATGAGCATTGTCAGAAGCTGTAAGTCTCTCTGTTGGAATTTTTCTGCAAATAATTTCTTTATGGTTTTTTAAGGTATTTCTTGATTTATTGTATATTTATTTCGGTTGTCTGTTATGTTCTCTGTTAAGTGGTGGATGTTGCATTTTTATTTATGATACATTTTTTCTTCTAAGAGCAAAACCGAGCAGAAGAAGTTACACTGTTTTTTCAGTGCCAGTTGCTCTTCCTGCTTTGAATGATATAGTTGTTGATCTGATTTTAGGGAGTTGTAGAACAGCTGAGGTTGGAAGGAACCTCCAAAGATCATCTGGTCCAACCTTTCATGGGAAAGGGAGCCTAGGTGAGGTTATCTAGCACCCTGTGTCATATCTTGAAAGCCTCCAGTGACTGGGACGCTACCACATGCCTGGAGAGGTTGTTCCAATGAATGGTTGTTCTAACTGTAAAAACATTTCTTATGTCCAGATGAAACATCTCCCAGTGCAACTTGTACCCCTTGCCCCTTGTCCTCTCCATGTGGCTCCTTCTGAAGAGAGACCCTCCATCCTCTGTTGTAGGAGCCCTTTAAGTACTGGAATGCTGTGATGAGGTTGAGCCACCTCTTCTCCAGGTAGAAGAGTCCTAACTGCTTCAGTCATTCCTCGTAGGGCGGGTTCTTCAGCCCTTTGATCATCTTTGTGGCCCTCCTGTGGACCTCTCCAGTCTGCCAGCATCTTGAATCATGGGGACCAGAACTGGTCGCAGTACTCCAGCTGCAGCCTGACGAGCACTGGGTAGAGTGGGATGGTCACGTGTCTGTCTCTCCTAGTAATGCCCCTGCGGATGCAGCCCGGGATCCACTTTGCCCCTGTTGCTGCACGCTGCTGCTCATGTTCAGCTGCTTGTCCACCAGGACGCCCAGATCTCTCTCGGCAAGGCTGCTCCCCAGCCGTGCGGATCCTAGCCTGCGCTGGGCTCTTCATGATGTCCTCCCAGGTGCAGGACCTTGCACTTGTCTTTGTTAAACTTCGTACAGATTTTGATTTAGTCTTTCTTTGAAAGATTTTATCAACATAGAGAAAATCTTCATTTCAAAAATCTCAAGGTGCTTATGATAAATATGGCCTTTTTGTTTTGGATGGAAGTTTAGGAAGTAAAAATTCAGGGGTTCCACTGTACAGGGTAGAACATATTCTTAAGATGTCTTTAGTCTTCTGACGTTAAAGCTGTTACTCTGGAAAAAAAGTTTGTGATTCCTGTGTTATTGCATGAAGCTTAATGTCTGAATTTAATGTAAAAGTTTGGTGAGACAAGGTTTTAATATTAGAACTTATGTTTGTAAAGTTTGAGGTCTTTGGCATGCATGAAATCAGGGTAAAGAACAATGATAATCACTGAAACAAAATGCGTACTTTTTTTTTTCTTCATGGCAGTGAGTTGCTCTTCCCATAAGTCCAGATGGGTCTGAAAAGTCTCTTGTTCATAGTCAGTGTCATTAAATTTGGCTCGGATGGTCAGGTATTCTGTGTGTGTAGAGGTGGTAACTGACTGATACTCGTAAAATATAAGCTAATCTGTGTTTTAGAAAATATTTCAGCTGACAATCAGAGCTGTGTATGTCAAGATTCAGTCTGCATTTTGCAAATAGGAAAATGGAAAAAGGAACAATGTTGGATGCCAGCTGCTGATACGTAAAGATTGATCGTGCCTTCTGATTAAACACAAAAATAAACAGAGCTGTCCTTGATCATTTGGACAAGGGATCTCGTTCAGCAGTGCACTATTTCTCGTTGTTTCTGTTGCTGTTCCACTGATGTTAGTCTCTTCCGTTCTGAGACTTCTTGGTAACTGCTCCCTGAATCAAAGTCCTGCTCAAATAGCAAATGGGGTGATCAGCTTTTTAGGCTGAGGTGAGGAACTGGGTCATAGCAGTATTTTAGCATACACTTTGTTATTTTAATTTTCTGCATGCTTAATGGCAAGATTCTTAGATACTACGCTCTAGAAAAAGATGTGAAATTGGTATACAATATTCTTTAAACATAAATTTAACACGAGATATTCAAAATAAGTTCTAAATCTGTTCATCCTTTCATTTTCCAGATGGAATTCCAATTCTTTATTTTTTATGAAGCAGCATGAAAAAATATTTCATGCTTCTATTAAATCCTGCCTCAACTTTCTGCCTTGTTTGTTTTTATCTATCTTCCATGTGTTTGTTTTTCGTAGAAGCTCACTTTATTGCCCTCTGTAGTGTCAGAGTTGTTTGAGAATGAATGCAACCTTGGAGGGAAAGTTTGGAACACATACATGGCATACAGAGTTCTGGAAAATTTGAAATTTTGTAGTTGGAAGACAAATGAGTGGGGGCTTCCTCAAAAGACTGATTAATGGACTTGTTAGTTCAGTAAAGGCACCCAAATGAAGTAAATCTGATGTGGTTGTTATCCAGTACATGATTTGCATTCTTTGTATAGCACAGTAGAAGAGGGACATTTTTCTTTTTACGTAAGATTTAATTACTAGTAGAATTTGTTTGAGAACTAATGAGAGTAATAGAAAACTTACTGCCTCTGGCAGTGATTCATGCCAGGAGACTTGCATATTATTTCTGGTAAATGAAAAACACTTTGTAATGTAGTAATAGTTTTTAAGTATTGAAATGCTGTCCTAGCTCACCTCCTCCTTTCCTTAGTCTTGGATGCGGCTTAAACATTTAGTTCCTCGCTGTATCCATCTGTATGCTGCCCTTGATGAAAACATGCTGACCTCGTAACATCAAGACTTACTGAAGACACGGTAGACCCAGGCTATTATTTCAAGTATTCTTCAGAAGATCAGAGTTCTGCATTTAAAAAAAATCAAAGTAAACTTGCAAAAGAAAAAAAAAAAAGAAACTGCAGTTGACCAGGCAATGTTTAGAACCACTGCATGGGTATTTCTGAACTACTGCTTTGGTAAAGCTCTTCCAATGTTTTCTGGGCTTTGCTGACCAAGAAGGTAGAGTCCTAGATTGTACATGGTTGTCTGCTTTTCAAAAAAAAAAAAAGAGCTGTGAAAAGAAAACTTTCTTGATTGTTTTATTGCATGTGTGAATACTTGGACCAGCCATTCCATCACTGTTTTGCACAGAGCTTAGGACAGAGGATGTCCTGCATGAGAGTATTTCTTGGGTTTCTTCTTGATATTGTAGTTCTTTCTCAAAAATCAAGATGCCACAAATCACTCAGACAATATTCTAGCTAGGAGGATGTTAAGAAAAGTGGCCTTTTTCTCTGGTGTTTTTCCTACTTTTTATTCTATTCTTTTCCTTTTCACCTGATCTCTGTATAAAATTTTAATGTTTTTCTCAAGTTGCAGTGTACAGCTGAACACTTAGTATGACAAGAGTGGAAGAATTCAGTTGTGTTCAGATGCTGTCTTCCTTAACAAAATGTGTATGAAAAGAATCTTTTCAGTGTTCTTCAGGGAAATTTGAAGGTCCTGTGCTAACTTTTTAAATTAGTAGTAATTGCATAAATCACATTCAAATATTCTAAGGAAAAGAAGCCTATGCACAAAGTAAATAAGACTTGTGTGTATGCATGTATGTGTGTATGAGTATCAAGAGGTCAGGAATTCGCTTCCGCTCCATCCCAGTAATCCTTCTTCAGAAATCGCTGTCTGAAGGAAGCTTTGAAGCCATCGTGGAAGATAAGAGGAAGTACGATAGGTGTTTTAGTCTTATTAGAAATTAATCTCCATTGAACTGTAGTGAGCTTTTTTTCCTTGAACTCAATGGCATTTAGATCAAAAGACATTTAACTTAAATTAGAAAATGCTGATTTATAAGTTGACAGAATTAACTATTTTTTAACATACTTTGAAAGAAACTACTACTTAAGTAAATACAGCTCCATGAACATTTTACATTAAAACAGCATGCGATTCAAAATGTCTTGTGGGATTCTGAATATGACAGCAGGCAGAATCTCCACAAACTTCATTGCCAGGTCTTGACACTCACATTCTGAGTCTGCTTGTCTGGCGTATCCTGGTCTGGAACCACTAAAGACCTGTTTCTAAATTATGAGCTTGTATAAAAGTAAGATTGTCTTATTTTAGCTGCCAGGAAAAGTATGTGTTTAAAAAAAAAAATCTTTCCTTAAAACTATAATCAGTTTTACTATATTGGCAATAATCACTAATCAATGATGGTATTGAAGGTTGTGTAATTGAACTTAGTTCTGTGACTTGAAGTGCCTAAGAGAATTATTTATTGCATCCTGTGAGGTCAGTCTTTACAGATTTGTCTCCATCTTTGTCTTGCACAGCATGTGATTTCTGCTAACTAGTATTTACTTGCAGGATAAATGGTATTTGTGCTTGGTAGTATTTATTTACAGGCATTATTAGTTTCTCCAGCAAACATACAGATGATCACAATGCTCAGTTGCAGTCCCAGGCAGATGTAAACATCTGTTCATCATTTGCTTAGGCGGGAGAAATGTGGACACTGCTTTTCTCAGAGCCTTGGTGTTGGAGAAAATCACTGTATCTTGTGGATAGGCACCGTCGATGGTTACATGCTCAGTGAATGTTAAACACTTTTCTGCAGACTGTTAGAACAGCAGTGAAAGAGTTAAGTGTAGCCGGGTGTTTCAGAAGCCAGTGTTTATTTGCATTGTTAATTACCGTTAAGAAAGAGGGGATCTGAAAGTTGAAGGGTCTAGGTAAAATTCATCAAATTTCATGAAGTTTTATATTGAATCACTAATGTAATTATTTGTGAAACAATAGTTCGTTCATTCATCAAAATGTGTCTGCCTTTGTAATCAATGTTTTTATTTATTTAAATAACATTGGACTGCTTCCTTCTCGGGAAGATGTTGTAAAGTCAATAGAGCTCAAATGAAGTGCTGAAGACGTAGTACAAGCCGCAGTACGTCCTAGATGTTTATAGCTTGAATTATGGTCTTGCTGTCAAATAGAAGCACGTTGTGTTGCTGTGAAACTAACCTGCTACTAAGTTGCAGAAAACATCATTGACTGACGGCGTTTTTCTAGTCCAATAAATTAGCAAACAGGTTTTCAAATAAATGGTCTTTATATGTAATCTAGTTTTAAAGGGAGGAACATTTATTGATTGATCTAAGTGATTTTATCACTGTCCAGAGTAAATTAGATATCTCACTCCTAACGCTTTTTCCCCTGACCTGACTAATTTACAGTATGAAAATAAATGTTCAAATGTTTTGTTTACAAAATGATAAGAAATGTATTTCATGTAGACCTCTGAATATGTTTCCTGATTTCCAGAGCTATTGAGCACACTTCTTATTAAATTTGTTAATTTATTATTTTCAGTTTGTAATTTATATTAAAAATTGCTGCCTATTATTTTCAGATTTTGAATATGAAGATGAATATTTATCAGACTGGTGGTGGCACCTTCAGAGTCGCCTCCAAAAGCGTTGGGAACATAGATGAACATAGTCCTGCCAGCTGCAGCAACGCAGTGTTGGGCAAATGAATATACTTTGCTTATATACTTATACAGAACTCCTCGTTCTGTGTACTGGTGGCAGTACTTACTAACCTACATGGACTCTGAGGCTGGATTGTGGGGTCTTATTTCCCAGCTATTTGTTGGAATCCTTGAAGGAGAATTTCTCTATCAATGCGAGTTATTGCTGCCATTAGCTAGGGACCCGGTGCTGCTGCAACTGCTGTGGGTAATTTGTTCCCAGATTGGAAACCTTTTCTGGTACCCTGGGGAATGGAAGGTCATGTCACATGTCAAAGGGAAGGCAGTCTGCTCTGCTCGTAAAATGTTATACTGAAAACGTTGTTATGATAAATAGACCACTCTTCATACCTCTTCTCCTCTCCTAATATCTCGTGCAATAACCTTAGCCAGTACTGGTCTGTGTTACTGAGTTTTAAGCCAGATGTTAATTCTACATTTGGAGTAATTGTTACCCGAGAGGAACTTCTTGCAGATATGTGCTTCTGGGAAGGCAAGGAGTTGGTGTTTGCTGTGTGTTTGGTTTTGTGGGTTGTTTTTTTTTCTTACTCGCTGTTAAAGGACAATAAGTGCTACCATCACTCATGAGTGATATTTTCTTGGGACTTTTAATTAGTTGTTAAGTATTATCTGGAGTTTTTTGTAACATGTTTTTAGCTTGAAATGCAGAACCTTTTGTGATATATAAATGTACCAGTCTGAACTTACTCTTGTTCAATAGAGTATTAGAGATATATGCTACAGAAATAGAATAAGGTGTTTTGGTTTTTTCTCCTGCAAAGTGTAAGCCTCTAAGAGAGACTGTTAAGACATTGACTGGAAAACTCTTTTAAAATTACTGACCTCTGCCTTAGCTTTATCTTCACCATTAAATTTTAACATCTGAACTTAACATACTTAGGCTTGACTAGATTAAAAGACAATACTTTGTCAACGTTTCACTTCTTAGAGAAAGAAAACTGAGCTCTCTTTGTCTTCCTGGATATTTCTGATCTCCTTTTCTGTTA